GTGAGAGGCCGTATGTCCCAACTGTTTGCAGGTTTGGCAGTTCATGACCCGAGGAACAAACAAACGCACAGGTAGCCGAAGTTTTCGCAAATCGATGTAGTGAGGAAGGGTTGAACCAGAAAAGGTCACCCGAAACGAGTCTGTGGGGGTAAAGCTCTTTTTACCCTCGCAGAAAGATACTGAGTTCAGCTTCTGGACTTCCAGTATCTCAACCGTGGGAAGCAAGGGGTTCTTGAAACGGCCAACCGCTTGCTTCGCCACGATCTCGGGGGTCAGACTCGCTTCGGTGACCACACCTTCGATCTCCACATTACGAGCTGGGATGTACACTCTATACTCGAGCGTAAAGAGCTGGGAGGCAGCAATCTCGTTAGCTTGTTTCAGGTTAGAGACGACAACGCGAAGTTTATTGTACCTCACCTTCGAGATTTCGGTCACGGCCGAGAACCGCTTCGTCAGATCATTAGTAATTTGCATTACATTCAAAGGTTTCTTTTTGGGCTGAAAGTAAACAACCCATGGGCCAGTCGAGTCTTCTGGGTAGGCTCGCGATCGGGGGCTTATCTGTCCCTGCCCGTTACTGCAACGATAATCAGAATTACTCGGACACAATACACGAAAAAAAAAATACTAACACAGAAACACAAACTTAAAATTTTACAGATGGGTTAAAGAAAGAAACAAGAACAAAAACTTATCTGATAATCCTACGCTACTATCACCGAGCGTTTACACAGCAGCAGCGGAGCGACGCGCAGCTTTGATTATCTTCAATCCGCGTGTGCGGGCGGTCTTCGTTGGTGTGTGCTTGTATGAAGCTCGGCACTCAGCTGAACACACGATGATGGATGAGCGGTTTGAATGCGGAGGCAGATGCTGACACTCGATGACGATGATCCGTGTGCACAGGTATGCGTGACCACGCACCGATGGTGCGGGTTCACGCATACGCATAATGATTGGCGAATTGCCAATCGCAAAAACAATTTTCGATGATGCCGAAAACACACTTTCTTCTCAGAAAAAAACTCACTTTTTGATAAATTTATCGGGAATTATGCCAGGAATCACTAAGCGAGAAAAACTGATTATTTACGTCAGATAATAGCGAGAAAACTTCCAAATTAACGGAGCGCGAAACAAGTCGACCGTACTTCTTGCTAGGACGCAGTGGTGTGAGTAACTGAGATTAGTGAATTTTGGCATACGGTCCGTGGTCCACCGTGCTGCGCAGCTTAGTCATGATATTGGAACATCACCGTTGGACGGCTCCCACATCGATTTTCCGGATGCAGCTTCTGATCCTGTTGGTAAGTTGCTTGGTGTCCTGGACCTTCAAATTATCCTTCTATACCATGAAGATTATGAGCTTGATCATGAGCATGATTGACCACCCACGGTTGCTGCTCTGTTTTTGCAAGATCAGCTGTAATTACACAGATAACCAATATACGATGCTTGGGACTAGCAATCATCCTCAATGTGTAAATACTGGTGATCTAAAACTAGGCAATACCAGCGCCGGCCGTGCCTAAACGCAGGTCAAGAAAGGAATGGGTAGGAATGTGTTGACGTGACACTCGCTTTGATGGAAGCCGAAAAGTACTCTGCACTTCCACGAGGAATCACTGGGATGTTGGGTTCCAATTATCCTTCTATACCATGAAGATTATGAGCTTGATCATGAGCATGATTGACCACCCACGGTTGCTGCTCTGTTTTTGCAAGATCAGCTGTAATTACACAGATAACCAATATACGATGCTTGGGACTAGCAATCATCCTCAATGTGTAAATACTGGTGATCTAAAACTAGGCAATACCAGCGCCGGCCGTGCCTAAACGCAGGTCAAGAAAGGAATGGGTAGGAATGTGTTGACGTGACACTCGCTTTGATGGAAGCCGAAAAGTACTCTGCACTTCCACGAGGAATCACTGGGATGTTGGGTAAGAGGGTAAGGTTTGCAACAGGGTTCATGTTGGTAAGCGATAAGCTGAATTGATGTCCTAACGATCGTATAAAGCGAAAGAGCTTGGAATTAAACCCCCAGGCTTTTGCTCAGTAAGCAAAAACGTTTGCCACTAGGCAAACGAGCTCCTTTTAATCATGGAGTTGATGTTTTTACCACGTAGTCATATGAACAAATAAAACGATTGACGAATCTTGAATGTGGATGGGCCTGAGATTAGACTCATGATGTTTTTCTCAGTAAGCAAAAACGGTCGCTCTAAGGCCACCGAGCCCCTCATATCACATCATACCGTTACTCGAGTTGTTGTAACCATTTCAACCCGGCACCGACAACGACAACAAGTTTCGCAAAATACACGAAACACAAGCAATTCGACCATACTTTAATATGTTAGTTCGAGAGATATTGGGCTCTGATGAAGCGGAAGTTTTCTGGAAAGAAATAAGGAATCAAAGATACCAAACACTTCCAACAAATTTAGACAAAGACGGCCACCACGGTATCTGAGAAGTCTACACAAACCTTCATGGATGGAGTTGAGCGCAAAGTTCGAGAATGTTATGCAAATACCGAATGTTTTGACTTCATGAAACAGTGAAAATTTGTGTTTTACTTAAGTTTTGATGTGTCCGGGTTATTGTGGATACTGACCTTATATTAGTAATTAAAATTAGTGGTGGGTATCGCCAACCTAAATTTTAGCGGCGTAGAGTGCTAATTCACGAACACCATAAGTTTGTTTGCTAAACGCTTAATGATTTTTCGCTAAATCCATGTTAACGGCTTCACAAAAAAATCTTCTGCATGTAAACACCTAAAGGCCTTTTTGAAACTTTTTATGACGTAGGACTACGTCTGTGATTTCTATATGGGGGTACACCTTGTGAAAACCGAAAATGGAATATGTAACAAAATTATGAAAGATTTTGAACGATAATAACTCAGCTGCCCATTGACCAATTTCAATAATTTTATCACCAATCGATCAGATATATTTCTATGCATATGTTAAATTTAAGACTGTATCATATATTTTTTTTCAAAATGTCGCGAACTTTTCCAACACTGATTTAAAATTACACGAATGTGCAACTGTTAAAATTATCACCGATTGCCTGCAAAAAACGATTTCCCTAACACAGATTTCAAAGTTAAATTCCATCCGGTCTGGTGAGTGGTGGTGTTCTCCAGTACACAACGACAGGCTCCCCGCAAGCAGCTAGCTACCAAGGCTGGCCTCAACCGCTGATCGTATTCAGTTCCAATCACCGTATGTGGTGGTGTCCGGTCGGCGCGTGGCGTTGAACATTGTTCTCCAGTACACAACGAAAGGCTGTCTGCAAGCTGCACCGCTAATGATCGGAATCAGTAGCTCTTCGTGAGTTGCTGTGGGCCATCTATGTCAAGCGCGTCATACTAAAGAGTATACTGAGAGGTTAGCACATATCATCGGTGAGAGACGTGTGTGTGAGAAAATTTGTGAAAAAATCAAAGGGCACCGGTGGGATTCGAACCCACAATTCCCATTCAGTACACGGGTGCATTGCCAATTATACAACGATGGAACTATATGGTCTATGGATGTATTTGGCTACCAGTATAAACAGAGAGAACCCCGCTCAAATTCCTATTCCTACACAAAACACAAGCTCCAGTTGCTGCAGTTAACAAATAAGATTTATTATATAAGACCACGTAGTCCTACGTCCTACGGACCCCAATAGGGCTGTTCCTTGTAGTTTTTTTTTGATGTTGTTGTGCTGTTAGGGGCTCTTTAGATCTATTCAATGGCATAAATTTAATTAATTTACTGTATGATCTTGGTAGGGATAAACCGATAAGCACTAGCGAAGCTGAGCAAAGAAATTACTAAATTTTTATTTGTGAGATGGGAAATATGGTGTACGTCCTTTCAACAAATTTTGATAGACGAGTGTCAACCTCCCCACCAGCCAATATGCCAAACATTTGTATTTCAGAAAAGTTAATTATGTGCAATGTAAGATGGCTCATTTAGAACGAAACAAATGATGCTTAGCCCACATAATCCCATCCTCCTCTGTGCAGCAAAAAAATCTATAAATATCACCATCGTCAAAAACGTTTTCAGAAGATTTCTGAACAATAACTTCTAGCCCGAAGCAAAAGATTGCGTTCCATTCAACCCACACATTCTCATATTCGCCATAATTTGTGGCAGGAAGGAAGGAAGGACACCCAACGATGACGTCGCCGCCGTCGCCGCCGCCGCTGAGCGGATTGAATAGAAATACCTTTAAATTTCCGCCATACCATCATTTCTGATCCAACCGTAAAATTCCCACCACCTCTTCCCACGCAACATCCTACCCGGCTCTCGCAATCCCAATTGTTCATGGGTGCGTAGTGGAGCAATCTCGCCTTGGCAAGTCATCGTCGTAGTCGTCGTCTAAAAATTCATCCCCTGCCCACCCCCTCCCTCCCGAGCACCGCCATATGATGAAAGCAAAAATGAGAAAATAATTTATTCCATAAATCATATAACAGGGAAAATTCCTTTGAAAATTGCGCTCCGGTGATGATGCTGCTGCTGCTACGTTGTGCCCCATTGTACATCGCCAAAGCTCGGCAGCGATGGGGAAATTCCATTTAGACGCATGAACAAAGATTCTTTTTTTTTGTTGTATCCTATCACGAAGCTTGTCAAAAAAATTGAAATAAGTAAATGGTGTTAAAACTTCGACCGGCGCGTCGCGGAAGGGAACAACGGAAACGATGAATTATGTTGCGAACTGCGAACGTCGAAATGGCCTTTTGATTAGCAGGAGGGTGAGTATCGGAGCGAAAGTTGATCGTGAAACAATTTGAAATGCATAAATTTGGGTTATGAAATTTTGAGATTCTTATCATCCGACGCCCAACCTGGATTGAGGCAAAATTGCGTTTGAGATGAAGTTTACGAGCCGTCCTATTGCTGGGTGCTGGAGATGGATTGATTAAATCTATGTTAAGTTCTAATTCCATGTCCTATCCTTTTGTTTCAGGTCGTTAGTTCCGGGAAAGATGGATTTTCGCTAATGGAACGGGATTGGCGTGCTCATCGAACCGCGTGGCGGTTGTAGTACGATGGCGTCGAAAACGGCAACAACTGCGACGACGACGACGACGACAAAGTCCTATCAGTGAAATTGAATTACGTTGTGTTATCGTGCCGAGCATGTGTGCGTGCGAATGAGTTCGTGTGGGTGATTGTGCTTGCTATAGTGAATAAATCTGCTCGGGAAGAAATCAGTTAAACGAGCAGGCGTACGAGCGAAGCTCCAAACAATCCTTTGAAGATTAGAAGGCATTAGGCGGAGCGAGCGTTGCGATCCTTCGGTCAGTAAACAACGTTTGAGTGCGATACCGAATCGAAACCATCATCAGAATCATCATGGTGGAGTCGGGCAGCATGAGCCGGACCAGTCCAGGCTCAACGTCAATTGTGGCGGCTGGCGTTCGCAGTGGAATACTGGAGACACGGGTCCGCGGTGCTTGGTATCGGGTGTCGGTTACACTGGAAACGGACTACATCTCGGTCAGTTTGGATGAAACGTGCGAACCGGTCGATCACAGCACCACACTGAATGGAACGCTCGGGTAAGTAGCGGGTTTTAGCTTTTAAGGGGTGGGATTTTAGTTTTGCCGTACCTTCCTACTGTTATGACCGGATGCTCGATTGTAGAATATTTTCTCGAAATAACTAGGAAAGCGCGAAGGCTTCGTTACGTGCTGCATATGATTGCTTAATCAGAAGCTGAATGTGGTCATTGATTATTAGACCCCCCCATCCATTATAAGGCATAGGGATCCAGAATGGGAATTTAGCAGGAAAGATGCATTTGGGTGATTCCATCTCAAGTGACCGCCAAAAACTGAAGAATTGCATCGACCCTCTCCGATTTGAACCAAACTTGGTGGAACGACTTATTTTAGGCCAACAATCAAAAATCCAACGTTTTGTGCCCATCGACTCACCCCCGGTTCTGGAGACTGCCCCACTTTTTTCCGATCTTCAAGAAACACCATTTTTCTTTTGCACATATCTCTGGACCAAATTATGCTACAGACAGGATTGGGCATTCATTTTAAAGGATTTTTAACGTGCAGTGTTGTCAACTTGTCGATTTTTGCAATTTAAAACTTAAAATGCAAATATCTCAAAATGCCCCCACTTTTTTTTTCTAATTTTGATAACACCAAAATGTTCGGCAGACATTTTTACATAAGAACCACTTAACCACCAAAAACAACTTTTTTTGTTTGGGAGATATGGATTTTTAAAGATTTAATGTTTTTAAAAAGTTCCATTAATTACTGTACAACCCTTCAATGTGAAACGTTGGACAATCCTGAAAGTTGATAGAAACGATGAAACCTGTAAGTAGGATGAGGATCTAATCATTCTTTCATTTTATACAATCAAATGCTCAGATAATATTAAACCAGATTTGTTTCGACAGTGTTGCCAGCGTTGCAAACTTAAATTTAGATTGATATTTTTTTCTTATTTACAACACTTTATTTTTTTGCGTTCGGAAATGTATTTCGTATTACATGGTATTTTAAGCAGATCCAATCGTTTTGTGTTTCTTTATTTACTGATTATTTTAAAGAAGCTTTTGAAATATTCAAAAACTAATTTGATTCTAAATTAAAGCAGCCGTGTTATTGCTATCATTTATTGAACAAATATCATCTAATACATTGAGTAGCATGAGTAATTACTTCTTCCGTTTTGCCTTGTATTTGGGTAGTGATTTTGAACGCTTTTTTAAAATTACTTTGAAACATGAACCCGTTTCTGAACAAGAAATCGTTTTCATAAGAACAGTATCTTCGCCGGTAGACGTGGCACAATGCATTCCGCGAATTCCAAGAATGGGTCGTGCTAGAGCGAATCGGGCTTCTACATCCTGCTTATTCGTATTGCATTGCTCCAATGTCACAAATTGTACATTCAAATTGCAATTTGACAGTGCCCATTCTTATAACTCTTTTGGCGTTTGTATCGTTGTACCCTGTAGACTGGCTCTCGTTGCCAATCTTTTCAAGGTACCTCCTAAACCTTTGCCGTGTACGGCACAAAGTAATGCCACTCAGCCGGAACTCCGAAGTCTTCTCGATGGTAGAGCAAGTTGATGACGTTGAATCGGTTTTTATATTGCGAACGAGCACCATCAGAAAAGTATATAATTTTAGTCAAATGTGAGAGCCGAGATTTCAGGAATGCCATAAACTGCCTCTGGAAACTGTGGAAGATAGCTGTGGAATGCTCAAGAACGTCGGAGATAATGATACAGTTTAATGGAACAAACTTTTCTTGCTCTATGAAATAGGCGGCGAATGGATGGACGGTGGCTTGCAGGTTATTATAGTGAACCCCTTGTACGCTGTCTTCTTGGAAAAAAATCCGTTCCCGAAAACGGGAACGGACCGTGAACTAAAAATCACGGCCAGCTATCCAGAACAAAATTTTCTCAAATATACACCGTGAACTATGGTTCACGGCTGTGGTTCACGAATATGGGAACTCTTTTTTTCCCGTGTTAGAACACAAACAAATAATTTTCGGAAAAGTCCGCAACAACAAGAACTTCTCCTTCCTGCAGATTGCCCCGAGTATTTTTATAGAAGTCTGCCTGTTTTGCAGCAATATAATCGTGTTTTCGGACCTCTGGGATAGCTTCAAGAAATGTATCAATGAAAGCTTCTGCATCACTGACCTTCGTTTCCAAACTGCACCGATCTTGCTGAGTCGATTGCTTGCACGTTATTTCCTCGATAGAGTTATCGTCCAAATATGACCAAATCGTTTTTCTAATCGAATCCAAATCGCCACAAACTGTATTGGCACACTTATTCAAAAAGCATGGCTCCGATGGTTGATCACAGAGGTTCTGCTTCAGTACGTCTCTGTACGAAGAGAATGCTTTCGTACCTTCTACTTGCCCTTGAATTTCGTTGAAATTAGCACTCAAAAATTTGAGTTTAAAATTTTCGTGAACCACGCATACGCAAACTGTGTGTGTTCTTGCAGCTCCAGCCAGCACACACTCAGGTGGCCGTAGCTCAGCAAATTTTGAAAACCCAATGTCGATTTTGGGAAACTTCTCTTTAAAGAAAGAGAAAGTTTCCCTGAGATTTGCCAGCACCAACCGCTTTTGCTTCAGAACACGAGAGTTTCCTTCTCGAACGATCTTGAATTCTATCTTTTCGGCTAACTCTTTGCTTACATCAGCTTCACGGTAAAATGATAAAACCGTATGCACGACGTCTTCTGAAATAGGGTGACCTTTTCTTGGATTAGGTGAACAGAGAACACCTTTCTGTTCAACGCACTTCTTCATTTTTCGAACTAATCTTTCTATTCTAAATTCTGTTCTAAATTAATTAAGCTTACTCTGAATTTTATAAGTAACAATTTTATAAGTTACAGCGTGAAAAAACAAAGCATACAATTTAAGACCCACAACCCCCCAAATGGCATTTTTCTTACCCGGTATGTCTACATCCTCTCACGCATCGGCTAGACAAGTAATTCCAGCTCCATCTGCCGAAAAATAGTCTTTTGTAATTTAATGTAATTTTTTGCACAGGAAACGTATTATTTCACTACCATTCGCAAACTTACCATTTTCAACATGAGGTCCCTTATACGATTCCTCTTGCAAAGCCATTTCCCTTACTGCCTTATCGCATTGAACGTAGATTTTGCGACCCTCAATCACATCCTTTACGTGATGATTAAAATCGTCGTGAAATTGTTTTCAAATTTCTTCGGCGAATATTTGAATGCACTTTTAACGGGTTACAGCTGTGGCATAAGGACTTCGGATTATTCAAGATGCTTCTCGGTTGACATGTACGAATAGACTCTTTATTCAATTTGCAGGTTCGGATCAGGAAGGTTCTTATTTGGTATTAGGCCGAAAGAATGTAAAATATAAACCTTAAAAAAAGTGAAGCGGCGTGGTAGGTTTATTGCCAAAACATTTGCTGTGCATATGCGCAAGACTTATTGCGCGCATATCGTAGCAGTTAAAGTAGGTTGGTAAACAAGGAAAAGGAAAAGGTTTTACTGTTTCGAAGTTGACTGAGCAGTTTCTCAGTAGGTCATGAATTTTGGCAGTTTCTATCTATGTTAAAACAGTGGGATAAGGAAATGGGAATGTTTCCTTTATTATGGTGATTTATGAAAAGATCTGTGTGGTAATTTGAGATGTATCATATTACAACATCGTAACACGACACAGCATTGCTTCTGCTTAGCTGCATAAAACCGTCCGAGCTGATTCGCGTGGCTTTCACACACAGTTTTCAAACTGAGAACAACGGATCGAAGTTTGAAAAGATTCCATTCCCGAGATGAGAACTGACGGGAGGACCAATGCTGTTTTGCGATAGTAAATTTTCTTTTTAAAGGGTGTCCACGATGAAATTGTCACACCATGAAATTGCTCTAAATTTTTAACCGTTGGGTAGAATTTAATGAAAATTTGGGTGGATTTTGTTCATAGTGCATTATTTACATCCTGCAAGTTTTAAAGTCCTGTGATCAAAACTCGCGGAAATGGAGTCGAAAGAACAGCTCATGCGTGATAAAATCTTGCGCATTCATCACGAGAACAAGGATCTCTCGCATCGTTCCATCGCTAAAACGTTGGGAATCGCGAATTCCACGGTGTCGCGAGTGATTAAGCAGTTCGAAGAACGGTTGACCACCGATCGGAAGCCCAGAAGTGAAGGAAAAAGTATTCCGTACAACACCAAAAATCACAACCGCGTAGTTGGGGCCTTCAACCGAAATCCGAACGCCTCCGTTAGGGATGTGGCTAAGAAGCTGCACCTAAGCCGAAGTTTTGTCCAGAAGGCCAAAACTAAGGCTGGGCTTCGAACGTTCAAGGTACAAAAGGCCCCTAATCGCGACGAGAAGCAGAACAAGTCCGCCAAAACACGTGCCAGGAAGTTGTACCTCAACATGCTGACGAAAGTTGAATGCTGCATCATGGCCGACTTCAAACAGATCCCCGGCAACCTGTTTTTCACGGCCAAGGATAAGTTCAGCGTTCCGGAGCATGTCCGCACTCAGAAGATGTCCAAATTTGCGAAGAAATTCCTGGTTTGGCAAGCCATCTGCACGTGCGGGAAGCGAAGTGCACCTTTCGTGACCCAGGACACGATGAACGGACAGGTGTACATAAAAGAGTGCCTCCAGAAGCGGCTGCTTCCTCTCCTGAAGGCCCACAACGTCCCAACAATCTTCTGGCCGGATTTGGCCTCATGCCACTACTCCAAGGACGTGCTGAAGTGGTATGCGGACAATAAGGTCAATTTCGTGCCGAAAATGTTCAACCCTCCCAACACTCCGGAGCTCCGCCCCATCGAGAAGTACTGGGCGATTATGAAGCAGCACCTTCTTAAACGACCTAAGGTAGTGAAGACAGTCGAGGAACTGAAGAAAGTATGGGTTTACATGCAAAAAAGGTTGATTCACAGGTTGTGCAGAATCTTATGGCCGGGGTTAAGGCCAAGGTGCGGGCATTTGCGTATGGACTGTAAATAAAATACAAGTAAAATGGTAAAATGAAGTTTAATAG